GCTGCTCCCCTCGGCGCCCGCGAGCCAGGCAGAGACAGACAAGATGTCAGGTACGTCCGCTCCCAGCCCCTCACTGCCTCCCCCCAGCAGCGGCCTGGCCCCGGAGGCCGGCCCCGGCCAGCCCGGCAGGCCCCCCGCCAGCGCCAGCGGCGACTGCGAAGGTCCAGAGCGCGAAGCCGAGCCCATCCCCAAGATGAAGGTGATGGAGAGCCCCAGGAAATCGGCCGGCAGCGCCCCCGGGGCAGGCCAGGACGGAAATGCCAAGGACACGCGGGGACACCTGGGCTCCCTGCCCCTGGGAAAGCCCAGGCCCGGGGCCATCTCGCCTCTGAACTCGCCTCTCTCCACCGCGTTCCCTTCTCCCTTCGGCAAGGAGCCCTTCGCCCCCAGCAGCCCACTGCAGAAGGGGGGCTCCTTCTGGAGCTCCATCCCTGCCTCCCCCGCCAGCCGGCCAGGCTCCTTCACCTTCCCGGGGGACAGTGACTCCCTCCAGCGACAGACGCACCGCCACGCGGCCCCCAGCAAGGACACGGACCGCATGAGCACGTGCTCCTCGGCCAGCGAGCAGTCCGTGCAGTCCACACAGAGCAACGGGGTAAGCGCGCCGAGGAGCCTGCGCCCGCCCGCCCCGCGCCTCTGTCCTGCCGGCTCTTCTAAACCTCCTGTGTCGCAGTCGCTCTCCTCGTACTAACTCCCGGCTCTCCGGTGCTGCTGCGGTAACACCTGCTCCGGTAGACACGGCTGCGGCTTCTCTGCGCGTGTGCGGTGGCCCCCCGCGGGCCTGGACCAGGCACTCACGCCTCTAACCTTCCGGACGCCTGCTTCGATCTCTACTAACTCGCTCCTTGCTTTGTCCTGTCTCCTTAACGAGGGAACGCAGAGCGTTAACCTGAGTGCGGCGTCTTTCCGTCCTCTTAATTTTCCAACCAGCAACATATCTTGGAACTGTTTCAGTCTGCCTGCCTTCTCACTTTTTCCTTTTTCTTTTCTTTTCTTTTTTTTTTTTTTTTTTTTTTTTTTTTTTTTGAGAGAGTCCTCTTTCTCACTCTCTACCTCCTGTTGAAATGGAAATCTGTACACTTTAAGCTTTTTTGCTCATCGCTTGGTTTTGCTCGGTTATGCCTTACGTTACCTTTGCGGCATTTTTTAACCTCATCTGCTGAAAAAAAAAAAAAAACATTTTCTCAAGGAAACTTCCAACAGCAACTCAAAGCAAACTAAGCTGACAAAATGGGGGGATGGAATCTCTCCAGTGGGAATATTTACTCCACCCACATTGCTCCAGAAGACAGTGCAGGGCACCTGGAGGCGGGCTCCCCGGCTGCGGCCA